ACACATCTGCTCGTGCGTTCATTCAGTGTTTACCTCTGCACTCACTGTGTCTCTGGCTTTGTGCTGTGCACAGAGCAGAGGAACAAAACTGACCCTGCTCTCAAATGGAGTTTACCATCTAGAGAGAGAAAACAGGAAGACATACAAACATGTACCAATAAACAGCAGGTGACTTGGGGACCAGTTTGATGGAGAAGGAGTGTGATGAGATGGCACCCTGGGTGGGGTGGGAGGGACACTGATGAAGAGACAGCTCAGCTGAGAACTGCCAACTCTGGGAACACAGGCCCCAGCTGGTAGCCTCCTTCCCTCTGCCCCTGCTTGGGTTCCTTTCTTTTTCATGGAACCCAACAGCGGACTCCTGGGGTTGCTCTGAGCCAGCACCTTGCCAGCACAAAGGATGAGGCATGGGAGATGAAGGGGTGACCTCAAAGAAATAAGCTTTGTAAAGAGAGGCAAAAACCCTCCTGCTGTAACAGAATCCAAGAGCTGGCAAATGTCCCTGAGCATGAGTACAAGGGCATGATGGGTAGATCAAAGGCTTGGTGGTGGGGGAAGGTCTGTGGGGGGGAAGATCTGTGGGGGGGAAGGTCTGTGGTGGGGGAAGGTCTGTGGGGGGGAAGGTCTGTGGGGGGGGAAGGTCTGTGGTGGGGGAAGGTCTGTGGGGGGGAAGGTCTGTGGGGGGGGAAGATCTGTGGTGGGGGAAGGTCTGTGGTGGGGGAAGTCTGTGGTGGGGGAAGATCTGTGGTGGGGGAAGGTCTGTGGGGGGGAAGGTCTGTGGGGGGGGAAGTTCTGTGGTGGGGGAAGGTCTGTGGGGGGGAAGGTCTGTGGTGGGGGAAGGTCTGTGGGGGGGAAGATCTGTGGTGGGGGAAGATCTGTGGGGGGGAAGGTCTGTGGGGGGGAAGATCTGTGGTGGGGGAAGGTCTGTGGTGGGGGAAGGTCTGTGGTGGGGGAAGATCTGTGGGGGGGAGGTCTGTGGGGGGGAAGATCTGTGGTGGGGGAAGGTCTGTGGGGGGGAAGGTCTGTGGTGGGGGAAGATCTGTGGGGGGGAGGTCTGTGGGGGGGGAAGTTCTGTGGGGGGGAGGTCTGTGGTGGGGGGAAGTTCTGTGGGGGGGAAGGTCTGTGGGGGGGAGGTCTGTGGGGGGGGAAGTTCTGTGGGGGGGAGGTCTGTGGGGGGGGGAGTTCTGTGGGGGAGAAGATCTGTGGTGGGGGAAGGTCTGTGGGGGGGGAAGTTCTGTGGGGGAGAGGTCTGTGGGGGGGGGAAGTTCTGTGGGGGGGAGGTCTGTGGGGGGGAAGTTCTGTGGGGGGGAAGGTCTGTGGTGGGGGAAGGTCTGTGGTGGGGGAAGATCTGTGGTGGGGGGAGGTCTGTGGGGGGGGAAGTTCTGTGGGGGGGAAGGTCTGTGGTGGGGGGAAGGTCTGTGGTGGGGGGAAGGTCTGTTGGGGGGAAGGTCTGTGGGGGGGAAGATCTGTGGGGGGGAAGGTCTGTGGGGGGGGAAGGTCTGTGGGGGGGAAGGTCTGTGGGGGGGGAAGGTCTGTGGTGGGGGAAGATCTATGGTGGGGGAAGATCTATGGTGGGGGAAGGTCTGTGGGGGGGGAAGGTCTGTGGTGGGGGAAGGTCTGTGGGGGGGAAGGTCTGTGGGGGGGGAAGGTCTGTGGTGGGGGAAGGTCTGTGGGGGAGAAGGTCTGTGGGGGGGAAGGTCTGTGGGGGGGAAGGTCTGTGGGGGGGAAGGTCTGTGGTGGGGGAAGGTCTGTGGTGGGGGAAGGTCTGTAGGGGGGGAAGATCTGTGGGGGGGAAGGTCTGTGGGGGGGGAAGGTCTGTGGTGGGGGAAGGTCTGTGGGGGGGAAGGTCTGTGGGGGGGAAGGTCTGTGGGGGGGAAGGTCTGTGGGGGAGAAGGTCTGTGGGGGAGAAGGTCTGTGGGGGGGAAGGTCTGTGGGGGAGAAGGTCTGTGGTGGGGGGGAAGGTCTGTGGTGGGGGAGAAAGTCTGTGGGGGGGGAGGTCTGTGGTGGTGGTGGGGGGGGGAGGTCTGTGGTGGTGGTGGTGGGGAGGTCTATGGAATTTGACCTCTGGCAGGGATAGGAGTGGAAATGGAGGGAACACAGATGGGGGCTAGTCACCTTAGCACCCTACAAAGTGAGGTGAAAATACACTCATGCCCATACTTAAAAATGTGGCAGGCATAATTTAGAGACTGAGTCCTATAATGCCCACCTCTAAAGACTGCCGGGCATGGTAGCACATTCCTTTAATCCCAGCACTTGAGGCAGGCAGATCCTTTAAAACTGAGGCCAGCCTGGGCTACAGATGAGTTCCAGGTCAGCCACAGCTACAGAGTGAGACCCTGTATCAAAAAAAGAACTTAGGCTTAGGTCAACAAGATGGCCAGTAAAAGATGCTTCCAAGCCTGAGGGCGTGAGTTCAAGTCCAGAAAACCATATGGTAAAAAGAGCCAATTCCCACAAGCATCCTGACTTTCACATGGGCGCTGTGGCACACCCATGCTCACACACACAATGAACTTCAGTTAAAGAGACCTTGCCTCAGTTTCTTATTCCAGCTTGAAGGTCCCCGCCTGGAGGGCTCAGATGAACTTAACCACAGACACTGGTGGAAATTTGGGAACTGTCTTTTTGTTATTGTTAGACTTATTGATCTTACTTTCTGAGTGTTTTGCCTGCATGGATTTATGGGTACCATGTGCATACCTGGTACCCAGGGAGGACATAAAAGGCATTGGATCTGGAACTGGATTTACAAATGCTGTGAGCAGTCATGTGGGTGCTGGGAATCGAACCCGGGTCCTCTGCCAGAGCAGAGGTTAGCAAAAGGCTTAACCACTGCGCCATCTCCAGCCAGGGAATGTGGGTTTTTGAATCTTGGCTTTAACCTTCAGCTACATAGTGTCTCCCTGAGCAATTTCCAGGCTGAAGTTCGAGTCCAAGTTCTGAAATCATAGGAGAAAAAAGCTGACTTTATGCTTTGGTCTCAGGCTGGAAGCAAGCAGCCCAGTCTCCCATGAAGCTTCTTGCGAAAACTCAGTTCAAAGATGAAATGTGTGTGTATGTGTTTGCATGTGTGTTTGTGTGTGTGTGTGTGTGTGTGCAAGTGCACTTGTGTGAGTGTGCATGTGCACATCTGCATGCACACGCACTCCGCATTCACACATGCTTGGGGGGCTCTCTGGAGGAGAAAAGGCTGGAGGCGAATGGGAGGTAATAAAGAAGAGGTTTATCTGAAGGGCTAGAGAGGCGGGAAATTACTGCCATCCCTGAAAACTGAACCCTGAAACAGTGTTAGAGCTGAACCGCCAGACATGCCAGCAAGATGCCTTTATTACTTGTCTTATTTGAACTGAGCCCATATTTCTGTTTAATTGCTTCTCTCATTTTCTTGGGCAATAATTATAAGACTAACTTCTCAAATAAAATAAAATTGCTCCTCTGCTCTACACAGGCAGTTATAGGACAGGTTAGGGCAAGTCTCCCCGGTCCTTTGTCCCGGTCTCGGGGTTTCTGAGCACTGGATTGGATTAGGAAGACAGTTCTTATCCCAGAACTTGTCCTGATTTGAGGAGAACTCACTCACACAGTAGACCCCTCTCCCTGCCTCAGTCCCCTGTGTGTCTCCCTCGGTCCACCCAAGCCCTCTGTGTGGGGGGCTGAGGGAAAGGAGGAAATGGAGTAGCTTAACGCTTCTACGGAGTCTATTAAATTAGTTTCCAAATGTCCTCTGGTGACTCTCTAACCTAGTCACTGGTTAACCTCTGCCATCGGTCCAGGGAGTTACCGAGGGTGCCATGAGGAAAATATCCACAAAATCCCTTGTGTTGTATCAGAAATGAAAGCAAGTATCTTTTTACTGGCTTAATACTTCATGATGCCCGGTGAAAAATCTGCCTTCTGCCTACATTCACCGGGACCACAGCCTCAGTCTAAAGAAGGGGTTATGACCATAAATATAAGAAAAGGTATTTTTTTATGTGAATAATGTTGCTAAACCCATCTATTACTGCCTATACTTTCAAGAAATGTCTGGAAATTTTTAAATATGCTCCCCAGTTCCTCCGACTCCTCTCTGGGTCTAGGAAGCTGATCTCCACAAATTCTACGTCTCGGGGCCTGTGCCCCCGGCCTTGGGTTTGATCTACCCGTTAGAAGCCCGGGCAGGGAACTCAGAAGCAGGAAAGCCTGGGCACTTCTCCCGGTTGGCACTGAGCCCACAGCTGGCAGCTGCTCCTCTGGGGTTCCACCTCCCAGTGGAAAACTGCTTCCTCTGTGGTCCCAGCTCCCGCTGGGTGGCTTCCCTTCTGATTCTCCAGCCCCTCAGATACCATCTGGATTGCCTCCCAATACGCCATCCTTTCCAACCTTGGCAAAGAACTACCTAACTACTTGGCATGGTATCTGCCTTCTGTTTGGATCGTGGGTAGACGGTGCTGTCCGGTGCCTCCTTAGTCTCCAGAGAGCAGATACTGCATTGGGGAGTATACAAGAATCTCAGCAGACTCAGTTCTTCTTGACTGGCAGGCAAGGTCTCTCAGATCTTTCCCTAACCACCTACTCTGCAGCAGGTATACACAGGAATGAAAAGGACTTGGGACAGAGCTGCAGATAATAGGTCACTATAGAGACACAAGACATCCCCCCTTCTCAAGGGCTCTTGATCATCATGGTCCTGAGTTTTATTATGTAGAGGGGACAAGGGTTTATCGGACCTGTTTGGCTCACACACAGGGCTGGAAATGTCTTAGAATCTGGCACAGTTGTTGTAAATGCATTGCTGTTGTTCTAGAAGTTGGAGCTGATGGAAGGGAAATGTTGTTCTCTGCTCAGCCTGACTGACGTTCAGCCTGATCTGTGCACTAAGTGTGTTATCGCAGGTAGCATGCACAATCCAGCACCTGCATGGCAAAGGGCCACACAAGCCCCTGCTGCGGTCACTGTGCTGGGCTCTGACTGGCAGCCTGCCAGCTTGCCAGAGCCTAGAGAGTCAAGCAACTTACCGATGTCGAGGACCCTCTGCTTGGCCGTGTGTTGCCGGGAATGCCAGTATTTCCAGTATTTCAGCTGTTCGTCTCGGTTTTTGTCTTCACTGAAGACCACCATCACCACACTCTGCAGGAGAGAACAGCAACCATTACCCTCTGTTCAGCATCCCACTGCCTCACACAGGCCCCACATCTGGCAGCTCTACCATGGGTGTGTTTCTAGAACGTACCTTTTATTGTTTAAGGAAAGTATGAAGAGCCAGGCATGGTGGGAGCTCTGGCCTTTAATCCCAGCACTTGGGAGGCAGAGGCAGGCAGATTTCTAAGTCTGAGGCCAGCCTGGTCTACAGAGTGAGTTCTAGGACAGCCAGGGCTACATAGAGAAACCCTGCCTCAAAAAGAAAAGAAAAGAAAAAAAAAAAACAAGTCCAGAGAATAGGGCCAGGAGATGCCTCAGTGAGCTGGGGTGTTTGTTGCCAAGACTGACAACCTGAGTGAGAGAGACCTCAGAGACCCACAGGGTGGAAGGCGAGAACCAACTCCACAAGTTAGCCTCTGAGCAGGCACTTGTGCATGCACGTGCACACACACACACACTAGAAACAGCACAGAGACACAGAATCCTGTATCAGTTCTTTTTTTTTTTTTTTGGTTTTTCGAGACAGGGTTTCTCTGTGTAGCTTTGCGCCTTTCCTGGGACTCACTTGGTAGCCCAGGCTGGCCTCGAACTCACAGCGATCCGCCTGCCTCTGCCTCCCGAGTGCTGGGATTAAAGACGTGCGCCACCACCGCCCGGCCTGTATCAGTTCTTACTGCATCACCATAAACAATCAGATGAAGTAACCTGACAAGTTGGTTGGTTTGTGTGGTTAGCTAGAGCACTGGGCGTAAATATGTCTGAAACCTTCTGTCTGAATTGGAATTGGTGCCATTTGTAAAGAAGCAGGCATCCATCTCTCTCCTACGGAAGTGCCTCAGGCCGGAGTGGAGCAGGTAAAGAGAGTCACACAGGAAATACAGAAAAGCTAGGAGACAAACTCATTGATAAACAGAGATTTAAAACCTCCACTAATTTATAACCCAAAAGTACAAGGGCAGCGCTACACTTCAAAAAAACGTGGCTCTTCTTTACATGAGCTAGAGAAACTAACTCTATGTCACAGAAATAATCCAAACCTCATTTCAGTCCTGAATTACAAACAGCCCCCATTAAATTAATTTATATGTATTCATTGTCATTTATGGAATGCAGGCGGCAATGCCCCTGTCTCAGCCTCCAAAGTGATAAAATTATAGGTAAGAGATACCAAACCTGGCTCAGATCACATTTTCAGCCAAAATGGAACAAAAGGAGATAAAACTTCCATATTAAACAATTTTTTTTTTTTGGTTTGTCTTGGTTTTGGGGTTTTGGTAGGGTTTTTTGTTTTGTTTTTGTTTTTGTTTTTGAGACACGGTTTCTCTGTGTCTCCCTGGCTGTCCTGGAACTTGCTTTATAGACCAGCCTAACCTCAAACTCACAGAGATCCTTCTGCTTCTGCCTCCTCAGTGCTGGGGTTAAAGGTGTGCATCATCATACCCAGCACAAAATTTTCATATTAAAGGACTTCCACGATCCCAACAAAGTAGAACCGTTGGGGAAATTCAAGCTGTTGTCTCATCCTTAAATGGCTGCCACCTTTTGAGAGTGTTCACATGGTACTTGGAACTCATGCACATATGATTAAACTCTTAACCTGGGATTTAAGATTTTTTAAAAGAAAAACAAATGCCATCCCAGGTATTCTTCCCAGACACCCCTGTCTGGAATGGAGACCCCTGGGAGAAATTTCTCTGCTTGTCATCCCTTCAGGAAGCTCCATAGAGCCGTTTCTGGTCGTAGTTGGTTTCCTTGGCGGTGCTGGGGATGGAGCCCAGAGCTCACACAGACTGGGACTAGACAAGCCCAGCCCTATGCTTAGAAGAGTTGGAGTCAGGAAGCTGACACCTGGGCCAGGGCCCCTCCCACCTCAGCTGCCGCCACTTCCTAGCTTCTGAAAGCCAAGTTTTCGTATGTGTACTATTACAATAGTACAGGGGGTGATGTTATTACTATTAAAAAGGGTTGTGGTTAGTTTCAGTAAGTTATTGGATATGCGGTGCCTAGCACAGTCCCTCACACGAGGAAGACACTGTCACTGTGTGACCTGTTGACGCAGCGTGCCCTCCATCCTGGTTCTGGCCACAGGGATGGAGCATGTTAATGTTGCCCACAGTGGACAGTGTCCTGGAACCTTCTGACCTCCAATGGGCTCACCATGCATGGGAGCCTGGCAGACATGTGGTGGGGTCATTGCGCTCTAGACGTGCTATGGTTCCCTACTTCTCAAGCCGAAATGCTTAGTAGGACTCAGCTACGGACAGAACATGGTCCTCTCAGCAGCACGAAGCAGTTTATAGGAAACTGGGAAAATCTGTTCTCCAACACACCAGGAAAGTCCTTCAATCCTTTCTAAAGTCTGCAGTAACTTTCCTTTCAAGAAGAGGTGAGCGAGCTGCCCCCTCCCTGTTGGGAGAGGTAGACATGCCAGGCACTGGCAGGCTCCCAAAACAGACAGTGAGGGGGTCCAGTGTCATTTCCCACGGATGAGATTGATACTCATGACCTGAAATCCCTCCAAGCCACTGCAGGTGGGGATCGGACCTCACCTTGTGAGTCCTGGGTGCGCTGGGGGCTGCAGAAGGCTTTGTAAGGCTTGTAATGGTCCAGGGCGAGGCAGGAAATACTCTCAGCCACCCTGCACCCACAAACACATCCTGATTTACAGATCAACTGAAAACAACCACATAGCCTACCAGCCGTGAGTGAGGTCAGAGGAATTCCTTGGATACAGTGAAAAAGCATGTTCAACCAAGTTGCTCCCCTGGGGTTTATCGGTTACTGATTAAAATGATAAACTGGGAGCCAATAGGTTCTCTTGCACCAAACTGTCTGAGTTATTTATTTTGGAATTTTTTTCCCATGCCATTCCACAAGGACGTGAGGGAGCAGTTCCACCCCTCCAGTCACCCCGTACTTTTATTTTGAGAAATGCGGTCCGTACCCTGACTTTGCTGATGGGGTGTCGGAAGCATTTGTTGTCTCCAGTCTCACTGAGTGTTATGGCATAGAACTGTCCTTTGTTGAGGTAGGTCATGGGGCCCTCCCCCTGCTTCTGACGGAGAGATTTGGTGGCTTCCAGGGTGTACTGAAATGTTCCACTGCGAAGAAAAAAGAAAGAGCAACCAGCTCCCTTGAGCATTCCTACCCCCGAGAAGTTTCACGTCAACAGTATTGTATATGAATACTAACAAATATTTACTATACAGACAACATACAGAATATAGCAGCAGAAATGAGTGCAGACCAAGGGTCAGTGCCGCACAACACACACAGCATTTTTAACCGTGGCTCATAAACCAGATGGTTTAAGTGGGGAGAAAGTCCAGGATGTGCTGGGCAAACTCATGCCCAAGAACCAAGGGCAGATCTTGGGACATCCAGCTTAAGAACAAGTCAAACATCACTGCTTCTCTTCATTTTATGTATCTGCCCAGTTTTCTTTGCATCTGCCACAACTTACTTAAAAATATTTCAAAATATGAAAATTCAAAATAATTCAAACATTCACTACTAAGCATCGAATTCCCTCCCTAACGGGGCTGTTTTCCTCTCATTTTGTTTGTTTGCTTTGCAATAAAGGGAATTAAAGCTACGATGTCACACGTTCCAGGCCAGGGTCCTATCACTGAGCTACATCCTCGGCCCTTTCGTGTTTCGTTTTGAGAACGGGTCTTGCTGCGGCTTACACTTTCCTGGTACGCTTCTCTGGTACGCTTCCCTGGAATTTGGTTGTGACCAGATCTACCTCAAACCTCTAAGCCACTGGCATCATAGGCATGTGCCATAAAAATTGGCCTGTTTCTTGTTTTAAAACCTGCAAAAGGATTCATGGTGAGGCCACTCCACATCAGGGGCTTAGAGGAGATGGCTTGTGACAACTGGTTTACTGCCTGCTTTTGCAAATAAGGTTTTACTGGAACAAGAGTGTCTGATGTTTACTGTCTAGCTCATTGCAGAAAGAGCTGCAGGTTCGAACAGTTTCTCTGATTTTTAAGATCTAATCTATAAAACAAAAAACATTGACTTTTCCTAATTCTGAAGACTGTATCGATTGCTTAAAATTAATATAATAGGGATGAACCATATCTTTCTTTATTTAATTTGTTTTGGTTACACTGTGGGATAAACCACAGAAGGGGACCATTAATAAACTCTGTGCTTTGTGAATCACTGGTCCCTCTCCACTGGGTTAAGAACTTGAGCCCACTTACCCCTCAGTCTCCAAAAGGCTTGGAGCAAAGATCACTCAAACGTGACCTCACTTACAGGATTGGCATGAACTCTGCTTTCTCTGTTAGATACTTTGAAATGTTTTATTTATATCACTTAAGATTTTTTTTTAAATCTTTTTATTTGATAAAAATCTGAGGTTGGAGCTGGAGAGATGGTTCAGTGGTTAGGAGCACTACTCTTCTAGAGAACCCAGGTTTGGTTCCCAGCACTCATGACAGCTTACAACCATCTGTAACTCCAGTTCCAGGCAATGGAACGCCCTCTTCTGGCTCTATGGGAACCAGGTACACATGTGGTACACAGTCATATATGCAGACAAAACACCTCACACAGAAAATAATAGAATAAAAAATGTAAAAGGCTATCGGTTACAAGCCTCCCCTGGGGACCTACCTTGTTGTCTGGTCATACATATACTCTTCAGCACCAACAGAAGCACTCCGAAATTTCTGAAAATTTTAAATTGTAGAATTAAAAAAATAGGCTGAGAATGCATATAAACATTAAAAAAAAAAAACAAATGTAAATAATAATATAGTGGTAACCATTTCCTGTTCCCATTTCATCATCTCCTGGGGAGGGGAAAATGTTTCGGATGCTGTGTCTTCAAACATATAAACCATGTCTTCAATTTTATATTGTCTCTAACACTTCATTCCAAATATTACAAATTCAAAATTAATGGAAGACCAATTGCAGAGACAAAATGACAGAGCGAAAGGCACATTAATGCAGGGGTTAGAAGCATAGTTCTAGGGTAGGACCACCAAGGTTCAAGTTTAGCTCATTTACCTGACACTCATATAGAACTGTATGGTATTTTCTCTGTTAAACGCTACTCATAAGCTGCGATGAGGCCAGCCTGGTTAAGAGAGTGAGTTCCAGTTCAAGCATGATGGGTAGAGCATGAACATTTTATATGTGTATTAAATCCTAGTAAATAGTAACATATTGGCTGTACCCTCTCTTAGCAGATGTTTCTAGAGTAGATTTTGGGAGGAGGCTCTAAGGTTAGTAATTCGAGTAATCCATGGAGTCTGCTTAAAGGGTAAAGGAATTTATTAGGGAAGAAACTTCACTACAGCACAGATTTATCGTAGGGTCCTGGAAGGCCCAGTTACAATCCCACACTGCTCTTCTGCCTCGTCTGTCTCAGCATCCAAACCCACGAGGGAGAGATCTACCAAAGTGTGTGCATCTCAGGTCTTAAGGGTAGCCCCAAGCCACGCCCCAGGGGCAGGTACTTCAAGGTCATAGGCAGGTAGGGCAGTTACCTGCTATATCTCTATGGGTGGTGCTTCAAGGTCATGGATAGAACAGCTACCCACTACAGGTTAGTGTTACACAAACAGCAGTCTGGGTCGTGGTGTGTGTGTGTATGTTGCTACCTTGAGACAGTTTCAGTTTTTAATGCCAGGCTAAGTGAGATAGCTCAGCATGTGAAGGTTCTTGCCCCCAAGCCTGAGGACCTGACTTTGATACCCAGAACCCACATAGGGGAAGGAGAAGACTGACGTCTTTACGTTTTCCTCTGACCTCCCCACATGCCGAGGCCCATGCTCACACACAAGAACACACACACACACACACACACACACTCTTGACCTATAAAGCTAATAGAATATTGGTGAAAGGGCATACACACACGTTGTCCACACGTGCGTATACATCTGGTCCTCCCTCCCTGACTCTTTGAGTTGTCTCTGGAACCCCTCCTTCCTCTCACCTCCATTCTTTGTCCAGTACTTCAAGAGCTGCCAGCCCCCACCCACCGTGTCCAGAATTCAGCATGCTCTTACTCTGCAGTTTCTATTGACATATTTACAATTCTTCTTATCTAGTCTTATTCCTCAGACCCAAGAAGACAGTCTTCCCTCAAAGTTTAACCGCCCACACGAACCCATGCACACTGCACAAGTGTTGGTTGACTGAGTAATCATGACAGGGAATCAAATGCATTGGTTTGTGTTTCTTTGGCAATCAGTCAATCTGCAAACTCTTCAGTGAGAATTTTCTAGAGCTTCACCATCTGCTTGGCACCAGAAGAAACACAGAAATTATAAAAGATACCGTCTTGGCCTCAAAAAAAAAATTGGTTGAGAGGAATAAATTTACATAAGAAGCAACAACAAAGTAAACTAAACTACAGCAAACAACTGGGCATGAAGTCCGTGCTGAATCACTTATTCATTCATGTATCCTAGAGGAAGTGCATAGTGTGGGCACTATCAGGAAGAAACAGGAAGTCTGTGGAGATTCCATCATCTGTGGGCTTTGGTTGACAAAAGGAGCTGAGAAAGTAGTAATTCAGGTAAAAGGGGGCCACCCTGAGTCAAGGAAAGAAAGGCAAGGGATACAGTCACGGAGCACCCATAGAGCCAAGGACACAGCCATGGACAAATTAAGAAGGAAGGACCTCATGGTCTAGATCCTCACAGTCCACCGCAGTAGCCGCTAGCCATATGTGCTATGCAAACCTAAGTTGTTGAAGACTTGACTGCTCACTTACTCAGCCAGCTAGCCACTAAGTTGTTAAATCTGGCTATCAGCTCATCCCATTGGAAGGCATAAAAGGACATGTTCATTGTTACAAAAGTTCTGTTCGGCTGAGCTGGTCTATGGTTAAGAATTAGGAAATTTTGAAGTAGGACAGTTCCATGATGCTTTCAAAGGCATTTGAGGAAATGGCTTTGGATAGGAAGGATGATTTCCAAGGTCTGTGTTCAAGGACTCTGCAACAATTCCAGCAACCCTGGGGAGTCAGGCCTGTATGCATTAGAGCATGGCGTGTATGAATCTCTCCACACCACCAAGCTTGGCAGCCTAAGGATGGGACGGGACTCGGAACACACTGGACTTGTGAAGCCCGTGATTCTACTCTCCCATAAAAGATACCGTCTTGGCCTCAAAAAAAAAATTGGTTGAGAGGAATAAATTTACATAAGAAGCAACAACAAAGTAAACTAAACTACAGCAAACAAATGTGATACAGCTAAACAAAGCTGTGTCTTTCCTCATTCAACACTGGTTTCAGCTTTACCACTTTTTTTGTTGTTTTTGTTTTTCGAGACAGAGTTTTTCTGTGTAGCTTTGCACCTGTCCTGGATCTCACTCTGTAGACCAGGCTGGCCTCGAACTCACAAAGATCATATGTGAGAACATATGATACTGTGAGAACTTATTCTCTCAAACACTGTCAATAAATGCAGGCCAAACCAGAATTCTGCTCCAGTTCATAAATGTATATGTGCAACAAAAAAAATTAATTAAATAAATAAATAAGTAAATAAATAAAAAGCTGATGCCAAGTGTGTGACTGTCTTTCTTCAATGTTAATTTTTCTTTAATTCTATTATGTTATTTTTATAATCTTTTTTTAAAAACTAAGTAGATTAGAAAACATCACAATTAGCTAGGTGGTAGTGGTACATGCTTTTAATCCCAGCACTTGGGAGGCAGAGGCAAGCCTGGTCTACAAAGCAAGTTCCAGGACAGGTTCCAAAGCTTACAAAGAAATTCTGTCTCAAAAAACCAAATAAATAAATAAATAAATAATTAGAACCAGATGCTTCATTAGGGCTTTCTGACCACAGCTGTCGGGGTCCTCCACTCCACGCAAACCTTTTAGTATTACTTACACTGTGATAAAAAAGCCAATAGACACAGCATCATGCAAAACATCTACAGATTTCTTATTCACTTGGACTCGGCAAAGAAGGTATGATACTGTGTGTACAAACCACACGTAAGGACCGGCCCCATCTCTGGCCAACTCAAAACAAACAAGGTTATTAGGGGAGATTTTTTGCTTCATAACACTTTGTCAGGGCATTTTTTTCACCATGCTGGCTTTGCTTATATATTATGGTTTCCAATTTGATGTTTTTATGGTGTGTGTGTGTATGTGTGTGTATGTGTACGTGTGTGTGTGTGTGTGTGTGTGTGTGTGTGTGTGTGTGTGTGTGTGTGTGTGTGTATGTGGGTGCGTGCACTCTCTTCTGCTTTTTCTTTGGATTTTTTTCCCTGTTTATGTGCTTTTTTTCTGTTCTGCTTTGTTTTATTTGTCCATTTGCTTTCTAAAGAGAAAAAAGTCATGGAGTTGAATGGATAGGGAGGTGAGGAAGATCTGGGAGATGAGGTGGGGGAACCGTGGTTAGAACACATTCTATGAAAAAGATGTATTTTCAATTAACAGGTGTGATAACATATATTAGATCCTTACCAGCATATTTAAAATAAGTATTAGCATTTTAGTTTTGTTCTTGAGGAGAGAGGCAAAGAGAAGACATCTGCTAAGAACATACCACAAGAAGACAAGAATTCTTTACCTGTGAGGAAATGTGATACAGCTAAACAAAGCTGTGTCTTTCCTCATTCAACACTGGTTTCAGCTTTACCACTTTTTTTGTTGTTTTTGTTTTTCGAGACAGAGTTTTTCTGTGTAGCTTTGCACCTGTCCTGGATCTCACTCTGTAGACCAGGCTGGCCTCGAACTCACAAAGATCTGCCTGGCTCTGCCTCCCGAGTGCTGGGATTAAAGGTGTGCGCCACCACCACCCAGCTCAGCTTTACCATTCTTTCAATCATCTGCCCAATTATGCTGAAAATTTTCTTCACACCAGCTGATAAACCACATGTGATAATTACTATATTAAACAAGACCAGAGCGGGTCCCATTTTCATGAATGTTTTTAGTCTAGTAGGGGAGAGCATTCATCACACTCATGAATAAAAAAATTCAAGGCTAGGATGTCTGTCCTTTGACGGTAGCTCACTCACTCACCATGTGTAGGGCCAAGTTCAATCCCCATTACAAACTGTGCTACCGATGTGCTAGAGCACATGTGTTCCATGAGGGCATGTCACAACCAAGGAGAACCCATACCACTTCCTGACTGCTACACACAACAGCGATGTTTCCAGTGTGACACAGACAAGATTAACAGAGAGGCACCATCCTCCCCTGAACTCCACGTTCACAATGACAGCTACCAAAGCGAGCAGCAGTTCCTCTGAGTAACTGTAGCTTTCTGAGCAAAGACACCCTTGGCCGGCCATGTCGGAATCATGCACCTCCAGAACAATGGTTACAGAGGTCCCCAGGTTTACATTACACAAGATCCGACTCAAACTGCTCCCTTGCCTTGTACTCTCTCATTTGTCAATGAATGTTGTCAACTCAGCCAGTCTCAGACATTCTGGGGTTTGCTGGAAAGAAATACTAGTCTTTAGATAAGTTTTCCTTAATCACATTTTCCTGGTGAACGACTTCACACTCATGCTTACAACCACCTGGCAAGGAGAAGGGCAACGATCACAGATCCATAGATCTATGATCTATGTCACAGATCATAGATTCATAGATCATTCAACTCACGTCACCTCAGTGGAAAAACGTCTGCAAAGCAAACCCTGATTTTCCGAGACAGAACAGCTGACGAGTGAGCAGGACTTCCCTTTCACATCCAGCAAGTTTACTAACTCAAGGACTCCAAAAAAGCCCCAAGTACAAGCTTCCTTCACAACTTTCTCTATCTACATCACACACATATCTGATAACATGTCCCTCAAATAGTGTGACAGCCCCCTGGTCCACATCCACACACTCTTCTGTGACTTACATATCTCTGCACCAATGGCAATCCACACACGAAAAATCACGGACTTCCACGGGGCTGAGTGAGGCTTCAGCTAGGTGCTGTTCTGTAACAGCACCCTGAGTACTAGGGGGCAAGTCAAGTAGTCAACAGTATCAGACTGCAAGATCCCTACTCAGATTAAAACTCCAAAAGGTTGGTGTTGATCTTAAGTGATGTCACATAAACTGACTGGCATATATTTTCCCCCTTTTTATTACAAGGTCATTAAGTCTAGTTGTAAAACTTCCAAATTCAAGGAAACATGATAGTCCCTTGGGGTAGAGAATTGCTTAGCTCTGACTGTATCCCCCTAACCCCCCCTACCCCCCGAGTTCAGAGAATGTGACAGGCACTCATAAGCACCCGGTGGCAGCCATGGCAGGGTTGCTAGTGTCCCTTTGAGAGTGACTGCTGCTGGCCAACCTGTTGCGCCTCTGGTCCCTACCTGAAAGATAAGCCATATCTACTGGGATAGATAAGGAACATTCAGATTTTAAACAAACACTGGGTGGGTCATTATCTTATGCAATAGAATTAATAAGAATCTTAAAGTGACACTCTTCCCCGAGGAGACAGGTGAGTAACAGTTTGCCTACTGGCTACGATGACCAGTCCTCCTCACTAAAAAACACAGGCGACAATCATGAAATGGTTGTCACTTAGAATGCTGCTGCTGCTGCTGGGGTGTGACTGTGTCCCTTAAAATTCCTGTGTAAGAACTTGATCCCCAACAGTGTTAGGAGATGGGTCGTATAAACCGGCCTCCAGTACTGAGCGTGAGCTCGTTACTGCAAGGGTGGAGCTGTCGTGAAAGCTAATTTGTCATCTATACACGTGTGTAGCCTTTCACCCTCCTGCCGTGAAACAGCCGTCATCAGAGGTGGCTCACGGCTCTTCGGTGTCTCTGTCCCAATGGCACTGAACAGGAAGCCCGATGAGGGCACTTGGCACGGCGCCAGTGTCCCTGCCTCTCTTGAGGAAAGCAGCAGTCCCTCCACACCCCACTTTATAGGCCTGGAAACGCCCGTGCCATTCACTCGTCATCGGGGAATGCTCCCCCATGACAAAGCACGTGCTCACTGCAGGCTCTAGGTCAAGAACCAGAGAGGTGGCCCCCAACGATATCCTCTGTGGCAGGTAAGTGGACACAAGAATGTCTTTTCAAAATTAATAAATGGTGCTGGAACAACTAGGTATCAGGATACACAGGGGACCCCCAGCCTTGCTTCGCACCATGTCTAAAATGGGCCACAGATGGCTCAGCAGGTGGGGTCTGACAAGTGAGTTCAGTCTCCAAGATCCACATGGTAGAAAGAAAAAGTAACTCTCAAAAGCTGTCCTCTGACCTCCATCTGCCTGTGCACACACAATAAACACACACCAAAAATAATAATTAGGCCAGGCAGAGGTGGCGAATGCCTTTAATCCCAGCATTCGGGAGGCCAAAGCAGGCGAATCTCTGGGTTTGAAGCCAGCCTGGTCTACAGAGCGAGTTCCAGGATGGCCAGAGTTACACAGAGAAACTCTGTCTCAGAAAACCTGATGATGATGATGATGATGATGATGATGGTGATGACAGTGATAAATGCAAATTCAGAACCAGGTGCATTGTCCCAGCTTTTAGTCCCAGCGCTTGAGAGGCAGAGACAGGTGAATATCTCTGCAAGTTTGAGGACAGTCTGGTCTACATATTGGGTTCCAGGACAACCAGGGCTGCATAGACCCTGTCTCCAAAAGATAGAAAATAAATACATTTAGAAAAAAACTACAAAATTATTTTTTAAGTGGATCAGAAACCTACATCTAAGGGGGAAAAGTACCAGCTATACAGAAACACACACGAGAAAATTGTCGAGATGTTGGTTTAGACACACACATGAGAAAATTGTCGAGACATTGGTTTAGACACGCATGAGGAAATTAAGACATTAATTAGTTTAGACACATGAGGAAACTGTTGAGACATTGATTTAGACATACACATGAGAAAATTGTTGAGACATTGGTTTAGACACACATATATGCACATATGACATTGTTAAGACATTGGGTTAGAAAAAGACATCTTAACATTTAAAAGCATAAACTATAAGACAAATTTAACAAGATAAAGTGATCTGATTACGTAAAGATACAAAGACCCTGGGCTTAAAAGCACATAGATGATAAAAGCTTATATCCATTCCCCTTACCTAAAGATCTCTTTATAACTTAATAAAAGAAACTGCCAAAGACTTGAACAGACACTCCACATAAGATAAAAGGAAAGGCAAACAATTACATGAGACAATACTCAAACTCAGGAGACATCATAGAAATGCAGGCTGAAAACAGAATGGCCACCACCGAATTATCACTAACATAGCTGAAGTTGGGCAGACTAGTCATGTTGGCATGTGGTATGGAGAACAGGAATACTCTTACATCACTGATTGGAATAAAAATAACTCACAAATGCTATACTTTATTTATGTGCCTGATAAAGCACACGTATACCTCATAATCCAGCAGTTGATCCCAGCCCTAGGCACCCACAAGAAATGAAAGACTACACCTGCTAAAACATACACCTGTCTGTTCAGCAAAACATTAATCATGCTAACCCCCAACTGGAAACAACCAAATACCAACCAACTAATGGATTGGTAAGCAAACTGTGATATACACTCACCTTGGGATCATCGATTTAAAAACACAAACTGTTTGCATATAAACAAAAATAAATAAATCCAAAAAATATGCTAAATGAAAGAAGACAATATAAAAGAATATATTGTATTCAACTTACATGAAGTTTTAAAGGAAGTAACGTTACAGTGACAGAGGCTGATTAGTGATTGCCAAGAGCCAAGAGAAAGAATACTTCAAGATCAGAGAGGTCCATTTTGAGGTAAGAACTTTCTAGATTGTGGTTCTGACGTTGACTACCCAGTTGTATATAGTTACTAAAATTCTACATTATGCAATTAGAACTTGTGAATCTAAACATGTAGATAAACAAAAACGGTTGCACTGTGAGTACGAGCCTGAGAAGACTAGGATCTCTCCATTTGTTACAAAGTACACACACATAAAGACACTGGATTGACGATGCCACTACCTGGGGCATTCAGTCTGACAAAAGCTGCAAAGAGCTACAGTGTTTAAAAATAACAACGGGCATGCAACACTTTTAGCCACTACCATTTGGAAAGTGTCAAAGAGATGAAGATGATAACTACGAAGCAGTTAAGTGGAACTTGACCTAAGTTTCTCCTAACCCCTCAGAAATATTTAAGACTTAAACCAAAACAAAACATAACCTAAGAGACAAGACAGAAATATAACTCCACATATTTAAAAATACCAAATTACCAGCAAACGCATTAAAAATAACAAGAGTAGATAAACTCTCAGTTTAATCCCCTGAGTGGAAGACGGAGAGCGCTGTGTTCGGGACTCACCTCCGAGGCCCCGTCTTTGAAGCTCTCACTGTAAGTGCTGTCGGGGGTGCTGCGCTGGTCGTCCTTGAGATAGGAGCTGTGGCTGGCTATGGAGGGCAGGTCGTACTGAGTCTGCTCAAAGATGACCACGCGCTGCTCCTCGCCGTCTGCGCGGGGATAGTGCACCGGGGGCGCCATGAACACGGGCGTGAAGTCCTCGGCTTTCACCACGGTGATGCCCGACACCGGGATGACGGCCGGGCTCTCGGTGATGGACACGCTGTACTGCTCGCGCTTCGAATTCTCCACGTGGTCTTGACTGAGGCAGAGGTTCACCGGGACAGTCTTCAGGACCTGCACTCGGTTCTCGCCTCCGCTCAAAGTGCTCTGGGCTTCACTGGTGCCGAGACAGTTTCTGTGTGTTCAGAGTCGGGACATGACAGAATTAGAATTCATCTCCACTTTAAAACCCTGATAAAGCAACCGTGGCGGGCAGCCATCCTGCTAAACCGTGAGGGGAAGGGCTGATAGGAACTTGGCAATGGGATGTGGATCTTTGTGTCATTAGAACTAAGAGCGCTAAGTATGTAACCCCTGGGTGGCACAGAGTGAGGTCTCACAACCTTCTATAAAACACACACCCCACTTTGGAAAAAAAAATAATAATAAGGGAGTAATGACGGCCCTAAATCTTACCACGTCTTGACATCTAACTTTCAGCTCTGCAGAATCAGAGAGCTGGGAGACTGAATATCAGAATGGGCGGCAAGGCACACCAAGGCGTGATCCCTTACTGACAAGGGAAATTTATCATCGCGGCAGAAGCAAGCACAGGAGCAAGAAGGGTGGAAGGAGCGGTCTAGAGTAAAAGCAGCTTTTAAAGCCTAACTAGCAGCCCTGCATGGTGGCACATGCCGTTAACACCAGTGTTCAGGAGGCAGAGGCAGGTGGAAGTTCCAGGCCAGCCTGGTCTACATAGCAAGTTCCAGGCCAGCCAGGGTTACACAGTGAAACACCGTCTTGAATAAATAAATAAAATCTGAACATCCAACCACAATAGGTAGATGTTATATGATATTATTTGGACCTTAACTTGAACAATCAAAATGATAAGTATGAAGTTTTGTGACTTTTGAGGCAGTGACTTTAACTGTGAATTTGGCAATATTTAATATTGCTAATGTAGTTGTTAAGATTTTGTTTCTAATAAACTTTATTTATTTCTTTATAATAAAATGTCCCGCCGGGCAGTGGTGGTGCACGCCTTTAATCCCAGCAATAGCAGAGCCAGGCAGATCTCTGTGAGTTCAAGGCCAGCCTGGGCTACAGAGTGAGTTCCAGGAAAGGTGCAAAGCTACACAGAGAGACCCTGTCTCAAAAATAACCAAAAAAAAAGTCCCTAGTTTTCAGAGATACAAATCAGAAGTAAAGGTGAAATGATTTGATGGTGGGATTTGACGGGGTTTGAGGAGAACATGGCGGATGACAGGACAAACGCAAAGCCTGTCATTGCTGCCCTGCCCGGTGGGATGGACTGGTGCGCTGCCCCGTGGGATGGACTGGTGTGCTGCCTGCCCCGTGGGATGGACTGGTGTGCTGCCCCGTGGGATGGACTGGTGTGCTGCCTGCCCCGTGGGATGGACTGGTGTGCTGCCCCGTGGGATGGACTGGTGTGCTGCCTGCCCCGTGGGATGGATTGGTGTGCTGCCTGCCCCGTGGGATGGACTGGTGTGCTGCCTGCCCCATGGGATGGACTGGTGTGCTGCCTGCCCCGTGGGATGGGGGCGGGGCTCCTTGCTCCATCCTCTGCTCTGTGTATGAATGACACTCTCAAATGGAGATCCCTGTGGCAGCTCGTGCTTGCAATACCAGCAACTGGGAGACTAAGGGAGGAGTACTCAAGCTTGAAGCCAGCCTGGGCTACGTACTGAGTTCCAGGCCAACCTGTGCTATCAAGTGAAACCTTGTCTCAACCAGAGAGAGGGAAGATACAGCCATGGTAATTTGAAGGGTTGACAGGAAGGATATTTTTCACTATTTATGAAACAAAATAAGAAATTATCATTATAATATTTTCATCAGCTAAGAAATAACAGTCCATGGATATCCCAGTATTTAATTACTTTAGGGGTTTAAGGAAACGCTGAAGTACAATGGGATCATTGACCATCGCTGTGGTATGGAGAAAGAAAGCAGTTTAGAAAGTTAAGTTTGGGCAGAATATAATGAAATACTTTCATTTATATTAAAGAATTTGGGTAGAGATCAGGAATAAAGAGGAATGTGAGATTGCTGTAGATATTAAAAAGCGATCTTGCTAACAAAGGCCCACTGCTCAGCTAAGCTGGGGAAGGAGCGTTTGTGAATGGTTCTCTGGAACAGAGAAGAGAAAGTGCAAGTTTTTATTGAGCCTCGTCTTTGTTCATTGTGAATCTGAGTTACTTTTATCCAGCATGTCCTGTCTGGAGTTCACTGGCATATTGTATTGAGAGAAAAAAATAAACGTTTGAATAAAATTGGTTTTCTCAAGAATCAAGCTTTCCCAGTTTCTCTTCATAAAGGAGATGAATAGTCTCTGCGCTTACCTACCAGGCAAGAGTTGGTGATTTTAGCTTTGATTTTTTTTCAGATATAATTTCACAGTGAAGCTTCAGAAAGAATGACTCTACGTAAGCAAGGGCAACAGAAAGACACCTGACGATCTGTCTGAGGTTATCACAGATCTGCAGCACTGACTCTAAAAATTAACACCCCAAGGAATAAAGCCTACAGGTCTGCAAACGCAGGACTGTAAGCAGTGAGCTGTTCTCATGGTTAAACAACAGAGTGGTCACATAGAAGACACAGTAAAGATTCAGACATTATGTTTAATGTGACTCCAGTGAGCCAAATGATGCCAGAATTCAGACCACCCATTTGCACCAGTATTTCATAAAGGCCCTGTTCTGAATATTTCATTATAAAATCTGTGTTAAAAAAACAAACAGGAAAAAAAAAAACTGTGTTGCCATAACACGACCGCCTTAGTGGATCCAAGCAAGACGAATATGATGAATGAATACCCTTGGGCATTCCTTTATCTCTTTAGCTGTAATCTAGAACTTCACTAATCCATTTCACCCAGGACCATCAATATTTGTGGATAGCACACTGCAGGCTGGCTGTAAATGGGTTCGTCTACCAGAATAGCAAACACGGCAATAACCCATTAGCCACCCGCGACCCTTTACAGACAATACTACTGGCTTTGTCAAAATATTCAAATTTCTCTTCAGTTTATTTCAGGCCAGATTTATTTTTCTACTTATTACAAAAACATGAATTTTAACCAAGAAGCACAAGTCAAAACATCTTTCAGTGTTCCTATTATCAAGAAAGTAAGCAAGCTAAAGAGCTGTATAAATCTAGTCGAATTGTTAATCTAAAAACTGCATAGATCCCTTTTGGCCTCAGCGGCAGAAACAAGATGATTAAAGGAACATAGTCCTTTGGAAAGTGTCACAATAAGGCGCACACGCTGTGCCACCGATGTGCTCTGAAGTCAGCCTGTGGCAAAGGTGGCTGCCCTGCCAAGGGCAAGAGGAGTGTAACAGGAGTGCCCAGGCTAAGAGACGAGCGGTACCGGGACTGGGCAGATGAGGCACCTGAAAACTGTCTATGGAAGATTCAGACATGGAGTCCGTGAAGGGACAACATCTAAAACTCAGGGCAGCTGTGGCAGCATCCAGTTATTCTTGAGGATTTCAACTAGTCATAAAATAAATATTCTGGTTTCAAAAAAAAAAAAATAATCATAGATTCACTATATGGTGAACTACACTTCTAGAATAGTGTTAACTTTAGGACTTAATGCCACAGAATTTCAAAAAAAAAAAAAACCTCCCAAATGGGTAATTAGAATAAAGTGAGAATCTCCGACAGGAGTCCCTCTCCATCCCACTGCAGGACAGCCTGCATGGGTGATTTTGGGGGCAACAGCTGAGCATTTCAGTCCCTTCTGGTCCCCTCTTTTTCTTCACCTAATCCTATCCAGAAGAGAAAGGCCCCTACAGTCACTCCAGACTGCCACAGCAAGTGTGAAAGCCTGCCAAGACCGACTGGGGGAGCCATCTAAGTCACCACTGAAAGGTGACAATCTACACAAGCCAAGTGACATCCTCCATCTGGCTTCATCAGAAAGCAGGTTGTGATGGCCCCTCCCCTTTTAATCTCGGTTCATCTAGTCTTCTTGTTACCCAGCTTCTTAGCTCCTCCAGATGACATACCACCTCCTAACATCTGGATGGTGCTGGCAGCTGCTCAGAGTCTCTACCTCTCTGGGCTCAGTAATTGCTTTTCCCTCACCAAGAGGAATCCTTGAAGTGTCTCATTCCGTTAAGGGCCAGACTGCAGGAAAGAGTGTAGGACTGAGCGGAAAACTGTCTTCAGCAGCAGGCTCTTACTGCCAATCACCTCGAGTTCCTGACCTTTAACCTCCTCATCAGCTTTTCGACTGAGGGAACTTGCTGATGACCCTCTGGATGCACACGCAAAAATGTGTTTGGTTTTCCTAGCAAGAGATCAAGTTTTGGTCCAGACTCCTAAAAGACAGAAGAAGCAAGGCTTTTGACCCTACCTCTTCTGGAAAACAAACTTCCAGCTCAAGTTATAGTTGTAATCTAATTTCATGTGTATGAATATTTTGCCTACGTGCATCTACATGACCTACTTACATGTCTGGGACCCACAGAGATCAGAAGAGGGTAACAGATCCCCTGAAACTGCCATTAGGAAGATTGTGAACCACTATGTGGGTGCTAGGAATCAAACCCAGGTCCTGAGCAAGAGCAGTAAGTGCTCGCTGAGCCTCTCCACAGGCCATTGGTGGTGGGGGTGGGAGGGTAGGTTGTGACACAGAGTCTCTCTATGTATCCCTGGCTGTCTTAGAACTCAATATGGCCTCAAATTCAGAGATCCACCTGCCTCTGCTTCCCAAGCACTGGGATCAAAGGCATGTGCCATTGTGCCTGGCTTTCTTTTTTAAAAAGTATAGACAAGAAGTTATTTCCAGGGGCAAACCTATCTCCTTACATGTATCATACCTTTTATCCTGGTCTTCTTGGTTGTCACTCACTTTGCTCACAGACAGAAGTCTCTTGTCTCGGGGAACCTGGAAATCAGCAGGGAACCATCAGACTTACTGACACCACACAGACAAAGAAACCAAATGGAACTTTCTCTCTGAAGAAGTAGAAGGTTATTGTTGGGAAATGGTTAAGAGTGAGTAGCCTGAGGGGAAGTGGAGACAAAGGGGTGACCAGTACAGATTCATGCTAACCATGAATCAGCTGACCCAGGAGACACGGGATCCTAAGTGTCCCAGCCTTAGGAACGGGTGAGGCAGAGAGCCGTTTGTATGGGGTGAAGATGGGCATGGAAGAGAGTAGCCTATTGAAGAACATGGAGTGAGCTTCCTGCCTGAAGCTGGACACCAGGTGCTGACCAGGGCTTGGGGAGGCTCCTGGGCTGGGATCTGACAGTTCAGCTAGTCTGGCAATGAGTATCTAATAGGAGTACTCCCTAACCACTGCCGGGGAAGCATGCATCCGGTCTTTCCAACCATCTCATTCCTAAGCACGATGCCAACACATCACCTGACGCATTACTGAGAAGTACTCTGAGAGAAGGGAGTCTCCAGCACCTCCAGACATGTGAATAAACAGGTGCCTTGGATTTGGTTGCATTGGTAGATTGCTTGCATTTGCCTTTGGACTTGCTCATTTGTCTGTGGCTAACCTTGAAGAGGTTCTTCTTAGCCAATAGCATCGCTGTTGAGATAAACACACATTGATGGGAAGCATCCTCCTACTAGACTCCTCGAGGAATTCCTATGGTTTCCACTCAGCCAAGTACATCCACAAGCCGAGATGGTTGAACAAGAGGGTGGCAAAAGTGGTCCAGATTGTGGAAACCTAGAGTTAGACGACCGTGCAAGTCTAAGCCAAACTCGGTCCAATGTTCCCCATCTGTAAACTGGACCTCCTGATACTTCTCAGCTCAGGTCTGTGGTGGATTCGGGGCTTAGGAGTGGGTGGTGCTTCACCCAGACAAACCACCTGTGAGGGCTCCATTCATCTCCCACCGCAGGGGTCAGCTCACTTGTTGCCTCTCTCCCTGGATGATGTCCTCTGCCATGTCACCATGCCTCGAGAAGGCCCTGGCCAGTAGCCAGTGCTGTATTCTTAGAAGTCCCACCCTCCAGAGTCATGAGCAAACCAAACTTCTATGCTCTATAAATTATCTGGGGTATTCAGAGACAGCAAATGAACTCAGACATAAGTTAAAGCATCTTTTAAGTATTCATCTAATTTAATCTGCTGTTTCCAGACATGTCTAAACTGCATGGAAAGGCCATACTTAACTTTGGAGGTACCATTGTAAAGTCGCTTAAATTGAATAGACAGACACATGATTGTGAGTGCCTAACATGTGAGAGATGGAATAAATTTAGGGTCTTTTAAAGTATTGTTTAATTGGTAAACAGTATTAAATTTAAATGCATACTTTTAAAAATTGAACCACTTTCAAATGACCTCGAAGAACAGTACTTTTTAAATTGCAGACTTTACAATGTAAGGGATTGCAGGAAATACAAACTGTTGGGAACCTTGGGTAAATCTCACTCGGCTGTCCCAGCTACAAAATGCACAGGCCAACAGGGTTCGCTGCAGCAGCCCTGCGAGGAGATCTAGCAGCACAGGTGAAACCCTGAAATGTGGGAAGTCTCAGCTGAGTCTATGGCTCCACCAGCCCCTGGGGACCTGCTTTGTTCATGCCTCACAAATTCTCCCCTGAGAGAGCCCGATGAGGTCCCTGGTGGACAAAAACACCATGTCACATTTACAGAAAGCCTATGAAAATGGAACAGCAAATGTCAGAATACTTTCACTTCCAAAGTTTATAGTTTACACAAAGAGAATAATTCTATTTCATCAACAGGTGCATCTTTCCTCACAGGACAGTTACCTCTGTCATAACTCCAGCACCATAAGCTACGAGTGTGCAGAGAATCGAGAAGCCTCAGCATGAGCATTTCAACAAACTGCTCAAATGAGATAAAACTAGCTCTAGCCGGCGGTGGTGGTACACGCTTTAATCTCAGGCAGAGACAGGAGGGTCTCTGTTGATTTGAAGGCAGCCTGGTCTACAAAGTGAACTCCAGGACAGCCAAGGCTATGTAGAGGGACCTTGCCTCAAAAAATAAATAAAAAATTAAAAAAAACCAAAAGACTAGTTTTTTTTCTTAGGCACTAAAATGTTTCAAACAAAAAGACAGTAAATCTTGCACGAAATGTAAGGGACCATAACTCTGGGAGTCCTAAGGAGACAGTCATTTAACAAAGAAAAGGATGTGGATTTGGGTATAAGGTCAGTTTTGTGTAAACTCTCTACCCTGCATCTCAGAATATTTACAGATAGATTTGGGCTTGAATCATGACTTTTGCATATCTACAAGAGGAGATAACACACCTAGTATCACATTTTCCAACATCCAGCTATCCTTATTCAGTTATTCAGTTATCTTCTGACCCTGTGGTAATGTGAGAGCCAAAGTTACATTTTAAGTTTTAATTACTATGCCTAAGAGATCCAGGAAACAAAAATGCCTCTGATCTGCAAGCCGCCTGTCCAAGGACAGTTAGTTCCTGAAATGCTGGAGGCCATTGTTTATGGGAGATAACAAGCCATATATTTTCAACTCTGCTAAACAAATGTGACCCAACTACATTGAATGTGCTTGATTACATGTGAGAGGGAGGTACGTGGGCAAGAAATATGTCAGGATGTATGCTTGTCCCTGATTGGATATAGGCAAAAGGTACGTCAGGATGTATGCTTGTCCCTGATTGGACCTCATGGGAAATGTGGTGAATTATGGGTTTTGCCTTTTCAAGTCCCTGCAAACCCTGACTCAGGGCCATTTCCTGGAAACCAGGTATGGATCTGACCAGAGCCCATCCACCTGGCCAGTATTTAATTACAGTTTGTTTTAAATTTGGCTTTAAACTATGGTAGTGGTCTTATCTCTACCAGTGAGATTACCAGTAAACCAAGTATGCTCCTTTGTAGATTAACTACTAATTACTTGTGTCTCAAGTTAGCTTCTCTTTTTTACTAACACAAACCAAACATGCCACCAAATACAGGTATTTGAAATTATGTCCATTTCTCAACAACAAAAATATCTATTTTAAAGAATAAAACAGTAAGGCAAGGGAGACAGTATAGAGGGTAAGAGTGAAGCTCCAGCCTTGTGACTGGAGTGAGATCCCAAACCCACATGAAAGGCTGGCTGCAGCAGCACACATCTGTAATCCAGCATTCTCACTGTGAATTCGGAGGTGGAGCCAGGCTAAGCAGCCAGAAACTCAGAGGCCAGCTGGCCTGGTGTATGCCACAGAGCACCATGAGCAGGAGACCTCCCCCTTCTCTCTCTCAAACACACACTAAATAAGTTTACTAAAGTAAAAAATAATAATAATAATAATAAATTTCTTTAAAGCCTTTTAAAACTGTTAATTGTCATACTGGTCATAAAAGTCAGAAGAAGAAACTATCTTCACCTGAATACTTAAAACAGGAACATTTGAATGATGTGACAATAATTTTTTTAATTGTTAAAACTGTCAAATGTTGACTATTTTTCTGCAAAAAGGGGTGATCGCTTATCCATTTCTCTCTGAGCAACAGACTGAAAACAGAAAGAATGCCTGGGGTCCCCGGGATGGTCGAGCTGCGAAATGACGCAGTCTAATGTAATGAGTTCTCTGCCTCCAGCATTCTCTGTAAACTTCAGCGTGCTCTCATTCCAGAAGATTTCAGAGCTGCTCCTGCGTTTTTATTTTCCTCCCCTCTCCCCAAAATAGGATTTCGCTGTGTAGCTCTGGCCGAGCTGGGATTCTATATGCAAACCAGGCTGGCCTTGAACTCAGATCAGCTTGCCTCTGCCTCGGAGTGTTGGGATTAAAGGTGAGCCAATCATGCCTGGCTCTATTCTTGAGTTTTTCAAATGCACTATTCAGTCAAAAAAGATGAAGAAAAAAATCACAAACAGAAAATAGGAAAACAAAGCCACCAAAATCCACTTTGAGATTCAGCTTCTTTTCTACAGGTGTAAGGTCCACCCTTCACTGCGTCCTCCCGCCCAGAGCCCACGTCCCCCAGGGTTAAGGCCCTTCACTGCGTCCTCCCGCCCAGAGCCCACGTCCCCCAGGGTTAAGGCCCTTCACTGCGTCCTCCCGCCCAGAGCCCACGTCCCCCAGGGTTAAGACCCTTCACTGCGTCCTCCCGCCCAGAGCCCACGTCCCCCAGGGTTAAGGCCCTTCACTGCGTCCTCCCGCCCAGAGCCCACGTCCCCCAGGGTTAAGACCCTTCACTGCGTCCTCCCGCCCAGAGCCCACGTCCCCCAGGGTTAAGGCCCTTCCTGATACGTCATGAGTCACACTGGCATTGAAACCTTCAAGAACAGGCTATTGGTACCTGCCAACACATCCTTTCTGGCTAAGAGGGGGGAAGCCAGGCTAGACCAGCACAAGTACCAGTGAGGGAGAGAGGCGGCTCAGAGGTTAAGAGCACTGGCTGCTCTTCCAGAGGACCCGGGTTCAATTCCCAGCAGCCACATGGCAGCTCACAACTGTTTGTGACTCCAGTTCCAGGGAACCTGACACCTTCACACCAATGCACACAAAATAAAGTTTAAAAAATAAATAAATAAGTAAAGTGCCAGTGAGATAACCTAGCACTTCCTAACAATAAATGAGTATTCATTTGAGATAAGAATGTCCCCAGCTAAAATGCAATGATGGGCCTACATGTACATCCCTCATGCCTGTCCCTCACACCTTGCTCTGTCTTAGGTGAGGCAAAAGGAAGCAGAGACCCAAGGTCAAATTATTCTTCCTGGTGGTTTTGTCCAAAGCTGATTCCCCACAATGGACGGAGAATGAGAGCTTCACGATGCCCTACTGGCAAGAAGGCATTCCCACCATGCTGACAACTCCCAGCTCAGCTGAAGGTAGCTCCAGCCAGAGCAGCAATAATGCTCCTTCTTTGCTAAATGTGACACTTGTTGACCTTTTACACAGTTCTCGGAGGGCAGGTCTCGGAGGGCAGGTCCTAACTCTTCACACTAGTGTCTCTTGTTTAACTTCCTGAGGCACTCTTACTCTAAAAACAATGTCTAAGCAGCATTTCTTCTAAGGTTACATTCGCTTTTAAGGACTTTTTCAAATGAACACAAATGGAGACAGTCAGGGCTGGAACTGCTGACAGTCCCTCAGTAACGCACCCACTGGATGATCCAGAAAACAGAGACATCTTCAATAAGAAGGTTTCTTATTAAACTGAAAAACCTGGAGACAAGTCAACGCTGGCACTGAATAATAACTAACCATGACATAGCCACAAAAATGGAGCCATAATGATAGAAGAGAAATAAGTAATAATACTCCAGCTCCAGGGGGCCTGACCCCCTCCTCTGGCTTCTCCAGACACACATACCCCCCCCCCACACACACACACAAATACATATATCGATAAATATTTTTTTAAAGAAATAAGTACCCCCTAATTTAAACTTCTGAGTGGGAATAAAGTTGGGTTTCATCAAGTGGGGGTTCGGGGACACAAAAAGCAGAACTCCGCCCAAGTCCACTGGCCTAAACAAAGAGCCTGTCCCACCTTGCCAGGCCTGAAAGGAGGGCCTGGAGGCAGGGGGGAGGAGGCTGGTCCGGGACCCACCTTGTAGTAGTCATAGAGAAGGCCAAGGGCGGCAGCACTGTCCTCATCACCATTAATGCTCATCATCGCCTTGGTGGCCGCAGTCAGGGGGTTCTCCAGGTAGGACTTCCAGGCTTCATCCTCACTGGTGTAGGCTCTTCGGGTATTGAAGGGAGGGTCACTGGGCATGGGCACTAAGGCCACTAGTCTTTTATTACTGTAAGAACAAGAAAAGCATAGGCTCATTATCAGGTAACTTTCCATTTTCCCTCCGATACTACACACAGCATACAGTTACACTGATTTGTATTCCTCTACAGAAAGACAGCTTAAGCCGGGCAGTGGTGGGGTACGCCTTTAATCCCAGCACTCGGGAGGCAGAGGCAGGCGGATCTCTGTGAGTTCGAGGCCAGCCTGGTCTACAAAGTGAGTTCCAGGAAAAGGGCAAAGCTACACAGAGAAACTCTGTCTGGGGGGGGGGGGGGGGGGGGGGGGGGGGGTAGAGACAGCCAGCTTAAAGCTGAAAGGACCCCACTGCAAGCTTGCCTCAACTTACACCTTCACTGTACATGAAGAGTAGCAAGTGTTTAAAAGGTGGTGTGTGCTGTGGGATGTTCTGTATGTCAAATGTGTTGCTGATTGGTCAATGAATAAATCACTGATTGGCAGTGGCCAGGCAGGAAGGATAGGAGGGACAAGGAGGAGAATAGAGCTGGGAAGTGGAAGGCTGAGGCAGAGAGACACTGCCAGCCGCCATCAGGACAAGGAAGATGTAAAGTACCGGTAAGCCACAAGCCACGTGGCAAGGTGTAGATTAATAGAAATGGATTAATTTAAGCTGTAAGAACAGTTAGCAAGAAGCCTGCCACGGCCATACAGTTTGAAACCAATATAAGTCTCTGTGTTTATTTGGTTGGGTCTGAGTGGCTGTGGGACTGGCGGGTGAGAGAGATTTGTCCTGACTGTGGGCCAGGCAGGAAAACTCTAGCAACAGGTGTGGGCTTGAATAAAAGGCTCAGCGACTCAGGTGCTTACTGCTCTTCAGAGGACCCAGGTTCAATTCCCAGCACCCATCTGTAACTACAGTTCCAGGAAAAATCAGACACTCTGTAGCCTCCTCAGGAACTCCACTCACATGGCACACATAAGCACGTAAACTCACTCAGACACACATACACACACACACACACACACACACACACACACACACACACACACACAAGTATTTAAGGATAATATATCCAGTTAGTTTATGTTGCTCTCCTTAAAACTTGGTTTTCTGAATCTAATCATTCTGAATAGTTTAATTATTCTTAATTAATGAGCACTAGAATGAAAGCCTGTGAGAGAACAATTTTCCTTAAACTAAATTCTAATTTAAAACATTATTAGTTACATATAATCAATAGGTTAATGATTCAAAATGTTTTATCAAATTTAATCTTGCTTGAAATTCCTGGGAAATTATAGACCAATCTAAATCTCTTAATAAGAACAGCGACATAAGCTCCTCGGCAGACACATTAATACAGATAACACTGTGGAACAGAGCTATGGAGGGGTGTGGTGAGATGGACCCTACATACGAACCCCATTGGCTGTAGAACTAACTCTGTTACGTTAAGATGATATGGAAGCATTAGGTGAGGAATGAGGAGACTAAGTTCCCCAAGAGACAGCCTGTGAATTAGTGCTAACCTGGTCAACCTGTGTATGTAGAGAGAGCAGCAGTCTACAAGGCAGTCTTACTATCAATGTAACAATAACTCAGACACCCAAAGACCACGACAGTCCTCTGCAGCTGCCCATGGAGGGACCCAAGGTGCCGAGAGACAGTCTGGAGAAACTGTCACTCATTTCTTGGCCCTTTTTTCTAATTCACTGAAAGGGAACGAAAGCAGTAACAATGACACTGTATTCAACAACACCTACTCTGACACAGTCACATGACATGGATAGGTGGCCAGTGTCAGAAACCACAGCAGTCAATGGAAAGTCAGCCACCAAGAACTTCTGATGGTCACCAAGTTCCGAAAGACAGTCCTTTCCATCTCCTGATGGTCAGTGTTCCTCGGCTCACTTTGTGACGGAGGACTCGTGTGAACTTCTAAAGAGAGTGTATCAAAGGCCCTTTGTGTGCTGGCATGGTGCTGTACATTCTGCAGGGTCCAAAAGGGACATTTGCATTGCTAGAATATATTTGAGACCCGGGTGGCACAGGTGGGAAGTAACATTTATCAGGTGGAATCTGGGGCGCAACAGTCTCCGGCCTCTGAGTGGAGCTCTGTGACAGTGGAGCTCACTAGGAAGAAACAATAGTGCTCCACTGCAAATAACAGGGATTCAAAGTGATTCCTCTCTCTCCCTCTCTCTCTCTCTCTCTCTCTCTCTCTCTCTCTCTCTCTCTCTCTGTCTTTTGGCTTTTTGAGACAGGGTTTCTTTGTGTAGCCCTGGATTTCACCCTGTAGACCAGGCTGGCCTTGAACTCAGAGATCCTCCTGCCTCTGCTTGGATTAAGGGCCTGCGCCACCACCGCCCGACCTTCATCTCCCTTCTTTGGAGTGAGACAAATGCCTACTGGTGACTAGGCGTGTGGTGACCCAGGGTCCCCCACAGTGATGGAGAACCGAGCGGACACCTGTGTTTCAGTGTCTCCTGTCTTAAGTGGGGTTAGCAATGCCCGCCTGCCTCCCCCCCCCCCCGTAATGTCCTAGAAATAACTGATAACTGGGTCCTGGGGAGGACGCATTGCTCTGAGAGTTAAGTGGCATCGCCACAACCCCACTCTTCTGTGTTCCCGTCAGTTTTGTGCCTTTCCGGCTTCGTTAAAGTTGATTATAATGTATTAATAGTTTAAAAAAAAAAACCTGTGACTAATTAGAGAGAAACCAGAGTTGTTCCTCAAGCGCTCTCCACCCTACAGGCTTCCCTGAGAACAGCTACTGACAGGCAGGGGTGAACAGGACAGATGTGTCACCCCAGGGCCTAGCAGAACAGAGAGCCACTTTGCAGGGGGCGGGGCTGTGAGAAGGAAATGCAGAGCTGACAAGCAGACACGCCGATCCTTGAAAACAGAGGGAAGGGCAGGACGTATTTAAACTAATACATTTCATCATTCAGAGGGAATTTTTTTTATAAAAGAAGTAAGTTTATACTCATTTTTGGAAAGTCCAAAGAAAAGAACTTTCTTTTTCTTAAACAAAAACAAAGCCATAGCATGTCCACTTTGTAGAAAATGACTGATGATGAGGATGGGTTAGTCGTGCGGGCTGGAAGTGTCTGTAACAGAAATGAGGCCTGAGGGAGACGCCAGGAGAACTGGGGTCCCCACTTTGATGGGGCTGCCCGTCCTGTCTATTTGGGCCACCCTTGTCTACATTTCACCCAGTGAACCTGAAAACTGAAGTACAGGCATTCTCTGGAGCGTCACTCAGTGAAGCAGTAAAGAGGGGAGACTTAGAAAAAGACTCCACAGTTTCAGCTTGGAAGCATGTTTTGGGTGTGCATTGCTTCTGTGTCGTCCTAAGGTTGAAAACTCTGAGGCTAAACCATCGGATCCTAGCAAGCCGTGTTCGCAATAGCCTGCCCTTGAAAGGAATAGACTGCGCCCTGTCCGGGAAGAGCATGTTCTGCTGTGCGGAAGAGGGCGTGGCTAACGCTGGCTCTTTCTAAACACTGAGCAGGAAGTGGAGGCCTGCTACTGCACAGATTTTTCTTGAGTCTTCCTGCTTCCTGGCGACTCCAGCTCTTCCTGGCACAGCTCACTGGTGGCTTCAGGGGCTTAACCAATGTCTCCCCTAGGAGGGGACTGTCAGTGAGTCCTTGCATGACAAAGAGGGGGAGAAAATCTAGGAAATCACACTTGTTTTTGGTAACACAAGGGCCTGTTATATTTTAACTGTGCAATGCCGTGTTTTAGTCTTCAGAAACCGTGGTCTTTCTGACACAGAACACTGTAGAACAATAAAAATAGGATCATCTCTCTGATGTGCTGAGAAGAAAAATGTACTTACTACTACAAAGAAAAGTGCGTAGACCAGCTAGAAATGTTCTTTTTTGCGGGGAGGGGGGTCTTAAGAAATGCCTTCTAAAGGTTTATCTACAGTTTTATCACCATTCACTGAGAAAGACAATTTTAATTCTGTATCAGTCAATTCTTACAGGATTTCTTTCTGCAGCCCTGGCCGTCCAGTTCCAGGCTGGCCTTGAACTCAGAGCTCTGCCTGCCTCTGCCTCCCTAGAGGGCTGGAATAAAGGCGTGGACCACCACTGCTGGGCTTGCTTCAGCTAATTCTTAAGCCTCTGGGTTCACAATCTGGGTGGCCTTGCACTCTCTGAGCAAATGTGAACTTGACCTCTGGGTCTCTCTTTGAGGAAAAAAAAAATGTAGGCGAGCTTTGAACATTCACAGCAACGGTTCAGGTCACTCACACCTGTTTTTGTTTCCCATGACTCACTACTTGGTTCTGCCGCACACAGGGCAGGCAGCAGGGCTGAGAACTGAGTCACTGGCTGCAGGGGGAGGAGCCAGCTACCAGAGACTCTGGACCTCCTGCCAGGGCCAGCCTCCCGCTGCCTTGGAGCGGGTTAGGAAGGAAAGTTTCAAGTTGAGGGGCTCAGGACACTTAGCCCATGACATCTTCATCTCTAAAATCACATGTCCTGAGATATGAAGCAGCAATTTGTAATGAAGAAGAAGGAGATAAGGATGGAGTGAATGGCTGGGAAATCTGAACAGAGAAACACAGGGGGAAATGCCCAGTACTGTGGTTCACACCTCTAATCTCAACACACAGGAGGTAGAGGCAGGAGGATCAGGAGTTCAAGGACAGCTTGGACTGCAAGAGACTCTGTCTTAATACAAACACATAGCTGAATGGCAATTAGAAATAAATACAATATACATGAGGTTGAGCGGGGAAAAAATAAGATAAATAAATAAAATCCCATGTCCATTTTAAGTCAGTCACCAGATCCATCGTGACAGCTTCTGTCTTAGCCCTCCACGACATTCTCATTAATCTCTCTAGAGCTTCCCTCCTCGGTGGGAATCTGGTGAAATAATCTTCCTGGAACACCATTTTCTAGAGTGTAGTATGAGTCCATACTGCCTTGATCAGGTCCAAACCCCTCCACCTGATATTTATTCTCATTATCTAGTCCCAGCTTGTCAGAATTTGTGCCCTCTGCTTGCTTAATACGGAGAATTAAGC